TGTTGGTGTTGGTGTTGGTGCTGGTGATACAACATCGGTCATAGGCTCTAGGGGTGTTGGTGGCGCGACGTCATCGGTGTCATCAAAAGAGTCGTCCGGCTGAGGTTGTGAGTTTAAATCTGGCACCAAACCAGTTTTCATACTCTGGGTAGCGATTTGAAGATTGTTGTTATAGCCGTCGTGCGTTCCAATCCTCAAGTTCATATCCGATGGAATTAAATATAACCCCGGTTTCACGACAAAATTTAAAGGCGTTCTGGCATACTGCAAAGAGTCTTGAAATTGATCGATACTCGTTTCCATGTCGTCTACTGCATTGATGATATCTTCAACGATGACGTTAAATTGTCTCTGAGCGTCTAATCCGGTGCCCGGTGATAATACGCTCGTTTTTGTTTGAGCCTGCGCACCGAGTAAAGCATATACATAAGATCTGATCGATTCGTTGATCTTTATGATTCCCGCGGGGGTAAACGAACTCTTGGTGGGTATAAAATCTAACCAAGCATTTTGTACCGATTCATTTTGTTCGATATAAATAATCGTGTAAGGAAGGTAACTGTTTCCTCTCTTTTTAGGACTATCTAGACCCCCGTAGCCGCCGCTGCCGTAAAGAACCTTGGGGCTGTTGGGTAGTGCTCTATAATAATCGCCAACCGCCAAAAACTTGCCCTTATTAAAGCTATACGAGTTACCCAAACCGTTAGATATTGTGTCTCTCGTCTGTTTAAAAGACTTGTTTTGATCTATGCCAAACAACAAACAGATATCGTTAAATGCTCTATGATTATAACTGTTGTCTAGAACGTTAAATGTGTCATCTCCCGGTAAAGGAGCGGCAAGGTCATATAGGATCTTTCTAACCGTAAAATATAAATGAAAGTTAAAGATGGCCCAAACGTAACGGTTGCTCGCGTTTAAAAGATCAAATCCAACACCGCAGCCCGTAGTAGCGCAATAGATCGCAAAATTTAACTGATTTTGATAAAACGACATGGGGTGTGATTTCCAACGATCTACATCCTCATCCGTCTCAACGTGAGGCAATTTATAGTCCGAGGTTAAGTCGGGAAACGAGCTTAAAAACCCGTTGGTATTATTAACTATAACTTCCAGTTCACTGGGTTTAGTGCTGTTTAAAAACTTTGCTTGGGACGCAGCTTGATGCTTTGGCTCGGTTGCCTTGGCTACATTTTGATTTACTTGTTTCGTTACCTGATCGGCTATCGATTGTATCTGCTTTTTTAACGACTCAAAATCACTCATTATTTTAGTTTCAGTTTTAATATAAAAAGACTTTAAAATAAATGCATTCGTTTCACTTGTTTCAAAATGAGCAGACGTTTAAATTAGAAGACGTTGTAGATAATTTAAACGGTCAAAAATCTGTACGCGTAAAAAGAGTGATGTTTAACCCCGGATATTTTAATATTTCCAGCGCCACGGAGATTGATTGGTATACGCAAATAGATGGGAGACCCGCTGAAAGACCTGATGATGGTATAAGACCCGAACTGGTTAGCCCAGATGTAGAAGTAAGAACAGATAGAGATTTTATTGAATCGTTGGTACCCGAGTACCCCTACGACTTTTTAATTAACGATGAAAATACTTTCAATAGAGTTATAAACGATCTTATAGAAGCGTACGAAGAAGATAGACTAGACTCTGCTTTAGAATCGATCCGGGAAGAAATGGATCAAATTGTAGATGGTATAAGAATTTTAAGCTTTAAAAGACAAGACAAAACACTAACCGAAGAACAAAGCAATACGCTTAAATTTTTAATAACACTTATAGCAGAAAGAAGAAGCTTCATCAATGAAGGTAAAATGATAGCGCTAGAATATGTCCAAGGTATAATAAGCGAACCTAGAGCGAGAGTAATTAGAAATGCTGGGATAACAATACGTGGGAGTCTTGTCGTGTCTGGTGATAATTTAGATTTTATTTCTCCGAGTCTTTTAGCGCCGTTACCAGCTGGAGTCACCGGTTCGGTCACCATACCACCAGGGTGGTACGACGTCGATTGGTTCGATTTCATTTTAAATTATATACCCGGGGTAAGTTTTCGAATATTAAGAGAATCTAAAAAGGTGACGTTGGTGGTAACCGACGTCAATCTCAAATTGCGCTTAAACAGAGAAGTATCTCGATTACTCAATTTACCCAAAGGAAGACTGATACCCAAAGTGGTGTATGTGGGGTCTTACGACGTTAATCCGTTTAAATTTTTGTTTATTCGCTGCCCGCAATTAAGTACGAGTGAAAACTTTTTTGATGGCCGTCCGTCTGACATCTTAAAAATCGTACCCGTGGGTACGCGCAAACCCGAGCCTGATAGAGTCGAGGATTTCAAGAAACTTAAAAACGGTATAATCGACAAACTGACATTTTCAATCATAGGTGAAAAAGGACAGATCATCAACAACAAGGGTGTGAGTATCATGATAGAGTTGGAGATCTTTTAATTTTAAAATCTTTTTATATTAAAAACATGAGTGTAGATGGTAAGGCGCTATACCCCGATATTTCTGGAGATGTACTCCGATTAAATAGTAACGAAGAAACAAAAGTGTACAGACTTAAAAAGATTGAAGAGATTCGATCTTTAATCTTAAAAGAGAGAGACCACCGAGAGCGCACTTATAAAAAAATAAAGAGAATGATCGACACTATTAATTACGTAGAGATAGGATTAGAAGGATTGGGGGCTATAGCGGGGGCTGTCGGTATTCCCGCTCTCTTGGGTGTTATATCAGCCCCCGTTGGATTGGTGTTAGAAGGAACGTTTATAGGCGCTTTTGGTGTAGATATTCTGCTTAGAATCGCGTCTAGGCGATTATCCGCCAAGCTAAAAAAGCACGACCAGATTAAAATATTAGCAGACTCCAAACTTAACACGATTGAAGAATACGTGTCTCAAGCCATCAACGACGGAGATATATCGCACGAAGAGTTCTTATTGATTACGAGAGAGCTCGCCAAATTTAACGAGCTTAAGCAAAAAATTAGAGCAAAGACCAGCACAAAGCTTCAAAAGATTAAAAACGATACAGACTTTGAAAAAGAAGTTAAAAAACGGGTAGATGAACGGCTAGCAAAAGAAAAAAAATCTCTTATCGAAAAACTTACAAGTTCAAATTCTCGGTAAATAAACATTAAAGCGAACCACCGAGTTATACCTCTATTTCACCTCTTAGGGTGTTACCCTCGGCCCCGCCTTTATTGTAGTGGTCATCGTATCTTTTTAGTGCCTTATTAAATTGATTTTGAGTCACTTTAAATAAATCTCTAACTCGTTCTTTGTCTAATCCAACGACGTGATGATAACACGCCGCTATTAACGACCGTTTGACGCAACCATTCCCCCTCAATGTTTTGTAATTAACGAGCTCGTTATATTTATTGATTGTTTCTTGGACATCTTCTAAGTCTTGCTCTGGACAAACCGACAAAATAAGTTTCTCCATAGTTTTGCTTTTGTTTCTTTTTAAAATTGACCAATTGATACGATCTTCTTGCGCATTTTCTGCCGAAAAATCAAAGTAACGTGAGACTACTTCACCGCACGTTTCACAAACTAAAAAACCATTCTCGATGATTACATGATGATCGCACTGATCCCCAAGTTGTGACGTCCCAAAGTATTCCATCTATTTAATAAAAACCGATATTATTTTTTATTAATTTTTCAAATACTCGTCGGTCTAAACATATTACTCTCCATTTTATATTAAAAAACAGCTCCTCTACCTTTTACAGGGTAAGGAGCTAATTTTTTTCTTTCTCTCACTCTCTCTCCGTTAGATTTATTTTTTTTATTTTTTTTTTTTCTTGAGATCGGGGGATTTCCCATTGACCCTGTACTACCCACAGACCTATGACAAAGTCTGGTACCCTGACTTCTCATTAATGGCTCTGTACTACCCACAGACCTATGACAAAGTCCAGCACCCCCGCCTCCCTTACTACTCCCTCCCATCTTATAAAAATAGCTTTCTCATCAGGTAAGACTCGAACCCATGACCTCCTGCTTACTAGTGCAGACGTCTTACCACTTGTCTACCGAGCTTGCCGGAGTTGGCTGTCCGGTCCAAGTCTAATGTACATGTAGCAGCGGGTACCGCAACCAAACTGTTAGTCAGATGGAAATTGTGTCAGGGTGAATAAAAATATGCTCTGTTTTGTTAGGCCAAAAAAAAAAGTCTCCGGTTTCTGGTATGGAGCTTGTCAAAAAAGTGGTGCGGCGACGCGGCTTTTTTTTTTTTTACCCAACTTTTTTGCTTCAAATTTGCTTCAAATGTCGGCTGATGACTGCAAATGATGCCCGACTAAACTTAGTGCAAATATATGGGAGTCCAGAGAGGCCACATAAAGCTTATTCTCGATCATAACCCCAACTAAAAACACGTTGAAATTGCGCAGCAGCAGAATTCCAGTCAAACCAGTGAGTTTGGCGGTTTTGAGACATCATCTTTCATTGAAAAAAAAACTTTTTCATTTTGCCGACGCGCATGGCTACGGCGACGCGCGCGCATACCAGAAACCGGAGACTTTTTTTTTTTGGCCTTAGCCAGCCCTACACTAATGTACAGAACTTTTGTTATGTATTTGAGGGTCTTGAATGAAAAAAAAATGTATGTACAGCTCAGTTGACTGCCTTCTCAAAGATCTTTTAATGGTCACCTAGAATCCCATTCGGTTTGACTGTTACACATTAGTGAAGTTAGTTGAGCCACACATGATGTGGCTACATAAATTGGTATGCCTGCTGTTTAATTTAAGTGGCAGACTGCATTCACTATTTGATCCATTCAGCGTGTTGGAGACCTTCCTTGAGGGTGGGGTCTAGGCAGTGAGTCAGTTGACCACCTCCTCTATAAAGATCTCTTGATGGATTTCCAGTTTCCTTTAATTAGTTCGGAACTAAGGTTTTATTAATTTCTTTAAATTGACACGTTACATGCTATCACAAATATTGTTTCTTTCAATCTCAGCGGGAGATTACATCCTCTACTGGGTCGCTTCAGTGAGTTAGAGACCCTCCTTCAAAGTGAGGGTCTAGGCACAGACTCAGTTGATGGGATTCTCATCGATGCAGGGTGCTCCTCGATCCAGTTTGACACAGCTGAGCGTGGTTTTGCCATCAGCAAGGACGGGCCACTGGATATGCGAATGGATGGCACAAGGTGAGTTGTGTTCCTTTAGCGTTCAGACCTTATAGGCTTGTTTTTATGGGGGTGCTCCTTAAATGTGAGCAGGTCATTTAAAAAAAAAAAAAAAAAAAACACACCCAATACCAAAAAAAGTTGTTAAAGTTTGTTCAGACTGAATGTCAAAGAAGCCGTGGCGAATTAAATTTCACTAATTTGTTTTTCATCCTGTTTCCAGGTTTCCTTCCCAACCAACAGCAGCTGATGTCGTCAACTCCCTTGATGCCCCGACCCTTGCCAAGATCTTCAAGACCTACGGGGAAGAGCCCCGCGCTAAGAAAATAGCGGCGGCAATCGTTGAGTACCGCCAGAATTATCAACCAATCAGGACCACCCTGGAGCTGACCACTATCATCTCTTGCGCCTTCACGCACACTGAGTCACGTCAGAACAAAGACAAGCTCGGCCGACAGGCCCACGTCGCGACGAAGACCTTCCAAGGGTTGAGGATCTTCGTCAACAATGAGCTGAACGAGCTCAGCACGGGGCTTGAAGTTGCCGGGAAGTTCTTGAAACCCGGAGGGAAGCTCGCTGTCTTGACTTTCCACTCCTTGGAGGATCGGATCGTCAAGAGGTTCTTCCAGGGGAGAGAAGTGAACGAAAGAGGAAAGAGCATCCACCAGAAGCATCGGGAACATCTTCAAAGAGACTTTGCAACAAACTCAGAACCAGAAAGAACTGGCGAGTCCAAAATATGGGCTCCAATGAACAGGAACAAAGTGATACTTCCCAGCGAAGAGGAAATAGAAGAGAATCCGAGATCAAGATCAGCAAAACTGAGAGTCGCTGTAAAACTATGACATTGAAAGGTTGGACAAGTTTATGAAGACAAAAGCAGATTTTTGTTCTCAAAAAAATTCTGTCAAATATAGAAGTTAGAGTGCCTGACTTTTGTCAGAGTCAAATGTATTCCAAAGGTATTCTTCTGAGTGAATATCAGAAAAAAACCCACAAAAATACAAATGAGATAAATATCTTCTTGGCCCCCGTGTCTTGGTTGTCCGACTTTTGTGTAGTTGAACACCGACACCAAAATTGAAAAATCAGTTGGTTGGAAATTGAAAAAAAAAATGCCAGTTTACCTCGCAATATTGTGGCAGCTTTTAGGTTAAATATGTTGATTAATGTTTGAAATCCCCCCCAAAACTATTTTTCAGGAGATTTGAATAAAAGTTAAAAACTAAATTTCAGTCGTTTTCATTGTTTTCTTTGTCTTTGTTTATGTGTGTGTGGCTGGGGAGGTTCAAGTTTGTAATAGCTGCTATCACAACCTTGTTTATTGAATTTTACTTGGTTAGCTCAATAGCGCCCTCTGTTGAAATGAAAAAAGCTTTACTTATTTGCCATTAGATTTAATCAGAAAAATTTAATTTGAATGAAAACATTTTAAAAAGCTGGAATGTGTTTAAGTGAAATTTTTCTACATATATTCCCATTGCATTGCCAATTAAAAAGGAGAAAACAAAAGAAAAACAAAAGGTAATAACCAAAAGTACACAAATAAGATATATTACTTTCTCTTGTGCCTTTGTATCGAGACGTGGATAAAACAATCTTGTCTTGGTTATTATGTTTAATTTGCAATTCCCTTTAAAGTGACTCATTTTTCTCCAGTCATAACTGCTCCTTTAAAAGTTGTTTACATTAAAGGCCTTCGCAGCTTGCACAGACACGTCATATTTATCTTTTTCGGAAACGAAAGTATTGCATTCGGCATGAATTCTTATTTATTATAAAACAGAGAGGCCTTTTAAAGCATCAGATAGGGGAATACAAATTTTTGAAATTACTTTTTGGGCCAAAATAAAACTGTTAGAGGGGAAAACGTGGAGCCCCTTTAAAATGGATTACTTTTGTTATCAAGATGTCAACGCACGGTCAAAGTAGTGACAGCACGATGACTGTAGGAAATCCGATTACTTGCATGAGAGCACAGTGTATCGAAAATAAAGAATCGATATTACAGTATCGCAGAGACGACTAGGACACAGGTCAAATCCAGAAAGTATCGATACTCAGACTCGAGAAATTGAAAACGGGCTATCGATATTTCTTCTATTGACATGAATGAGGCCACGATTTCCGACAAGTGACGGGCAAGACTGTGCAAGAATGCGGTAAGAATTACACCATTTCCTGTCGCCTTTTTCTTTTAAAGTATGACTGTTGAAGACTTTCTGATGAAGTCTGTAATGAGGAGTGATTCTCACGTTAGTTTACTCTTCATTCATGTAGTAATTTTGACTTTTGAGAGGTAGGCTACCACTGAACGGACAACGAGCGAGTGTCACGCTGTATGACTGAGAGTTGATTCCAAATACCAAGTCGCCCCATTTGATGTTTACTATTTATTGGCGATCGTGTAGCGTAGGGCCCCTGTTTTGTTTTGATCAAATTAGAGTCAAAAATGTTTTTTATTGCTCAAAAATCACCTTAACAATCAAAAGCAGACTTCTCTCAATTCTAATGACGCCCGTTTTGCATACTCCTAGAACTATGATGCTCCGCGTGGCGTGAGCATCATAGTTTTACTTAGTTTTAGGAGTAGTCCGAGTAACTTGGACCCAACTTATCGCCTTTTTAAAAATTTGGACATGGTCTGGCGATAGTAGGGTCCAAGCCCATTCCTCGACCTAGACAACACAGTCACTGACAGTCCCAAAAACCAACATTTTCCAACAAAAAACATCAGATTTCACCTTCAAAACGGCCTCCAAATTACTAGATATGTCACCTGAGGTACAAGTAGACATAGATGATTAAGATGGTTGTACTTAAGTTTACTTACGATCCGGAAAAAAAGTGAAATTTTCCGTTCAATTCTGGAGACCCCCTCTGCCTAGGTTGTCGTTGTTGTGCTCACGTTCAAAACTGCATGATAATGGCGTCTGACCTCGACCTCATGCAAATGTGGTGCGGCGCGCTTGCGCATACATGCACTGCATGCATACACGGCAGATTCCCCTGCGCCGCGCCGACGACTGTTTCCTGATGTAGAGCGCTGTGTAAGTTCGCGGTACGCCTGGGAGTCGCGCTGGCTAGCCAGGCGTACCGCGAACTTACACAGCGCTCTACATCAGGAAACAGTCGTCGGCGCGGCGCAGGGGAATCTGCCGTGTATGCATGCAGTGCATTATGCGCAAGCGCGCCGCACCACATTTGCATGAGGTCGAGGTCAGACGCCATTATCATGCAGTTTTGAACGTGAGCACAACAACGACAACCTAGGCAGAGGGGGTCTCCAGAATTGAACGGAAAATTTCACTTTTTTTCCGGATCGTAAGTAAACTTAAGTACAACCATCTTAATCATCTATGTCTACTTGTACCTCAGGTGACATATCTAGTAATTTGGAGGCCGTTTTGAAGGTGAAATCTGATGTTTTTTGTTGGAAAATGTTGGTTTTTGGGACTGTCAGTGACTGTGTTGTCTAGGTCGAGGAATGGGCTTGGACCCTACTATCGCCAGACCATGTCCAAATTTTTAAAACGCAGTGGCTATTGTTACGGCAGCCGTAATGCATTTCCCATTTTCTATCGTTACGGTAGACTGCAACCTGGCAACTTTTATAAAAAAACATGACAAGAAAATATAAAATTAGAAGGAAAAAAGTGAATTTGAACTTTATGAAATTCGGACTTTATTTCCCTTTTAAAAAAAATCCTCCAAAGCCTCAGGTTAGAAAAGGAAAAAAATTCGAGTGCAAAACTGAGATCCGAACCCGCAACCTCGCGGTGCAAAATCCTACCCTCTATCGGCTGAGCTGGCGCACTGCTCGATCAGACGTGTGGAAACAAATAATTATATACCTGCGTGCGTACCAAAAAAATATCGTAGAGGGCGCTAAACAACGAGTGCCGTAACGATAGCCACTTCGTTTTTAAAAAGGCGATAAGTTGGGTCCAAGTTACTCGGACTAGTTTTAGGAGTACGTTTTGCAATTTTGAACAGATTCTTATTTAATTAATCTTGGGGTAGAAATCACGATTTTCCTGGGCTGTTTGCCTTGCGATTCAGCACGCCGTGCGTGCTCACGATGCATCGCGCGGTGATCGTCATCTTTATTTTCGGGTCGCACGTTGTCGCCGCGCTGTCATCGTCATTTTACCATGTAAAACATTGTTTACTCCCAAATTTCCCTCAAAAAATCAAAACCCTGCCCTCTATCTACATACATCTGAGTGACATACAATGTAGTCCTAAATGTTTATTGAGAATGTTGCCAACTAGTTTGGTCGGTCTAATAATTTTAAAGTGGATTTTATTTCCTTATACAGTCATTTTCCTAGTTCCGGATAGCAAACATCATTCAGGCTACTTTCGGCTCAACTACTCCACGAATTCAAGTGACATTGGTTTAAAAGTTTACCTTGAGTGATGGAGATACTACAAAATAATTTTCAAAATTTATGCTCTTTTTATTGTGACTTTACGACGTCAAAAGTACCGATGCCGCTTTTCCTAGTTCCGGATTGGTTTAATCAGTTCCGAATCGATCAAAAACTGATTCGTGCGAGAAAAAAAAATCACGCGAGAAAATCAAGTTTTCAGCCAGAACCACCCCGAATCAAGCACATTTTCTGATAAAGTATTATTTAAATTTCCAAAATAGTTCATTCAAGAGAATTCCAGCAAATTTTCAAAAGACAATTAACGTAAATAATTTTGAAACTTTTGTCTGCAGCGCAACGGCACGAACTCACGCACGGACCGAAAACCTTGCACACGGCACAGAATACGTCACACAAAATCGATTAACGCGCGTGTAGTTGGGTCGTAAGTGCACGCGCGATCCGGAACTAGGCAAAAGCATACGGTCATTCGTTTGCAAATTTTCAAATATTAGAGACGCTACAACTTACTTTGATTGAACAAACATTTGATGGAAGAGTTTATACAATTGTAGTGAATGAAAAAAATATTCAAAACCACACGGTACGAGAGATATACCGAGGAGAAAATTTATCGTCGATTCGCAGCTGCCGTGATTTTCTTTAAACCGTCCAAACATGTCGAAGTGCGAGTCGGAAATCTGGCCAAAAATGCCTTTTCTCAGGATTTTATCGAAATGATCTTTGGGTATCAAGAAGCTTACATATTCCTTTTCAAAATGCACTCCGTCAGAATTTTTTTTATTGGAGACTAATCCAAAAGAGGTAGGTTTTTATTTGAAGCGATCCGGAACTAGGAAAAATCCGGAACTAGGAAAACGACTGTACTAGGAACCAGGCCCTACCATGCCTACAGGCTACACTACACGATCACTATTTTATTTTACCAGTACTTTAGTCTTACTTTAGTTTAATAAAAAGAAAAGGCAGTGTATATTTAGCTGGCGACGGCTTTCTTTAACACATGTTTCAGTAAATGATATTTTATGATTGCCACTATTTCTCTCAATGACTCTTCGGCCTCGGCCTCAATTTCGGGATCAATCGCTGTGGCACATGGCGAAGACTGTGTTACTGTGTAGCTGTATACTAGTAATATCGCTTTGGTACATGTACGTTTCTCTAGAGGGCGTTCTTTTGGTCCACCTAGGAGTATTCTTCTTCCACCTCCTTTTTTGATTTTTTTTTTAATTTGACAACTACAATGTAGGTCTACATGTAGGCCCTAGAACTTTATAAAGTGAAGTGAAGTTTTAAAATTTTTGTCTCAAATTTTGGGTTTGTTCTTTCCCATCAAAACCTCAGACAATTTACCCAAAGGTGATGAAAATACTTTATCAAACCACAACAATAACAATTTTGTTACATTCATTTTCTAACTTACTTTTGCAAATTTTGAGGTACATGTAGATTGGACGATCCCCAGTTAGACCTACATTATTTGATTCCCAAACATCGATGTAAAGAAAGTTCCACATTATCCCAAAAAATCCTAGAATTTCTGGGAAACGTGTCGCAAGTCAAATTGATATGTTTTACCTTATAAAAAATTTGACCGAAACGGGCCTCAAATTGCTGGACTCAAAACGTCATGACTTTTTTATTTTTTATGTAACAGGAAGATGATCTAAGTTTTATTAGAATCTGTTGATTTTGAATTTTTCGTCACGTACCTACATGTACAATGTACACTGAACATGTGCAGTGGCTTTTTTTTGGGACTTTAAAAATCTATGTAAGGCCCCCCCAAAAATACTTCTGCTTCCGGTCACGTGACCGACACCGTTTTTAGGCTGCGAGTCTGCGACCCTGAAAATGTTATTGGCAAGTCAAAAAACAAATTTAAAAAATAATGCTCAATGCAGCGATGACTGGTTCCCACCACGCCGCGCACTAAACAGGCCAAAGAAGGCATGATGGAAATGCGGTAACCAGTCTATTCACAGCTGCAGTGCACTGCAGAGTAGTCATGGCAGTTGCAGGTCGGATTTAGACATCGTAAAAATGTCAAGAAAACGTCGATGGAGAAAGAACATTTTTGCAAGTTAATTCACAGTATTTGATCTCTCTTGTCTGTGTATGTATTTTCCATGTTCATGAATTTATTTTGTAGCTGTTTGTATACGGGTAGCTTTCGTTGTACAATGGAAATAGTTCAGGCTGAAATTTGCAATTAAATACCCCATTCAATCAGCCAAAAAAAATTGGCAAAAAAAAAATTTGTTTCCGACCTACCGACCCTATTTTTGAAAGGCATGTAATCGGAAGCAGAAGTATATTTTTGGCCTAACTTTTTATTTTCTAAATCATATAGGCCTACCGTCAAAAGAGGGCGCTGTACAAATTCAATCTAGCTGGCTAAATATCATTTAGTGAAAGAAAGCAGGCTAAATCCCTTAAGGGCTCTTTGGGGTCAAGTACCAAATACATGTACATGTACCACAGAATACTAAATGTGGCTGTGTGTAAAATTACCAGTACCATGTGACAGTGACACACACAACGTGTATCATTACATGTGGGTTGGTTTCCTTTCAAAACAATCCAGAACATGACATTTTCGGGCATTTCAGGACTTAGTGCCCCTTTAACGTGACATGAAAATAATGATTGTACTCACCGAGCCCCAGTCTAGGGCCAGTCTATTGGACTTAAGTCTATCCACTCTGTTAACAAGTACCCCCTCACCAGCAAAGGAAGTACAGTTGGGGGTGACCGACCGACGC